CATGGCCGAACAAGAACTCGCTGTGTCATCTTACCGCATCTTCGGCGAACCATCCAATGACCCCGGACGTCAGCAAGCGGAGCGAACATACTCCGACAACCTCCGGTTCGTCCTAGAAGCTAACACCACCACCTTAGACGCAGAAGGACGACCGCGCCCATACACCCGCGAAGTCTACCGCCGCGAAATTGATCCGGCTTGGAAAGACCCTGACGCCGAAGGGGAGCTAAGCGTCAAGGAAGAATAAGACAAGGCCCGGGCAGAAAAGAAACAAAAGCTGTATGAGGAGCGTGTCGCGGCAGGATGGGACAAAGAGTCAGCACGACGAGGCGCATGGGGAGATGAAGATTACAAACCAGAAAAAGGCGCAACCTGGACATCCGCCACTGGAGCATGGGGAACCAGCGCCAGCGGCACGGTCACCACGGGAGGATGGGGAACAGCAGAGCCCGAGGAAGGGGAGCTCACGCAAGAAGAACTGGAGGAAGCTGAACAAGAAATGAAAGCTGAGCGCGGAGAAAAATCACCCCGCGTAGTCATTCCCCTCGGACGACCCCCACGCACTCGTGAACCCCCTTGCTCACCTCATCGTTGGAGCGATCCCTGGTCGGAGATTGAGGAGGGGAATATACCACCAACTCCTCCGCGGGACTCACTTGGTCCAATCTCCCACCCATATCTGCTTGCTCGTTTCATTGAAGGCACCACGACCCCGCTCACCATCATCCCCGACTGTGAATTTCTTGCCCTCTATCTCACAACGGCACCTGCAGAAGGGGAGACAACGGCAGAAGCAGAAGCAGAGGAGCCGGAAAACGAGGCGGAACCAGGAGAAGAGGAAGAACCCCCACTCCAGATCCCGCAACTTACAGAAGAAGAAGTAGGAGAACACTACGCTCGTTACAAGCGCACCTCCGGCATTCGCGCCGAAGATGACCTCTGGCATCAGCGACTGGGGCACCCCTCGCGCCAAACCCTCGCTAACTGCCTCCGCGCTAAGGTTTTCCCGCCAGGTGCACTGCTGCGCCCCGACGGAACAGAACCACACAACACCCCTCACCCAATCACTTGCACTGTCTGCCCCACAGCTGCGCTCTCCCACAGCGCCTACCCCTCTCTGGAGCCAAGCACCAATCGCTACAAGAAGCTGGAGAAAGTATACAGCGACTTCATAGTGCTCACCTTCGACGGCATCAACGGCAAGAAGTATACTCTCACCTTCATCGACGCCTACTCACGCCACGTGTGGGTCGCCAACGTCGACGCTCGCTCCAAAGCTCCGGAAGTGTTCCGCATCTTCCTCGCGCACGCGCAGCGACAGTCAGGAAGGAAGCTGAAGATCTGGCAGAGTGACGGGGCCAAGGAATTTCGCAGCAACGAGCTGGAGAGTGTTCTCACCGAGAAGGGGATCAAGCATGAGATTTCTCTCCCCTACGCTCACCAGCAGCAAGGCGTCGCAGAGAGGGTCAATCGCACCCTCATGACAAAAGTCCGCGCCCTCATGAACCAGTCCGGGCTGCCAAAGAAGTTCTGGCCCTACGCCATGAACCACGCGGTGCGCCTGCACAATCTCCTCTCCACCACCGCCAATAGGGATAACCTGTCCCCTCACATGAACTGGACCGGCTCAAGGGGAGACCCCTCCATGCTGAGGGTTTGGGGGTGCATGGTGCAGTACCGGCCGACCTCGGCCACAATCGGCAAGTTCGTTCATCGTGCGTGCTGGGGAATCCACCTGGGGCTCAGTCACAAGCACAAAGGGTGGCTTATTCTCGATATTGACAGTAAGAAGATTGTTCCCGCGTGTGACATTCTCTTCTACGAGCGACTCACCTTGAAGCAGTGGATCGAGGACGAGCGACGCAACGAGGCACGCGGCTACGTCAACAGCGGTCGCAGCTTTGCGACTCCAGAAGACGAAGCAGCAGCAGCAGCACTGGACCGCGATGATACCGACGAACATCCCAGCATCCCGCCTCGCCCGCGCGACGACGACGACGATGACAGTGATGATGACCCCGCGCCAGGACCATCACGGCGCCAAGCGGAGCCAAGTACTGCAGCACCCGGCTACGAAAGCGGAGACGACGACGTGGTGGAAGTCACCACCAACACAGACACCACCAACGTGTCAGGTCTTCAACTTCTCGGCCTGCACACGTCCGTCACTACCCTCGCACGGGCCGTGGAGCCCAAGAACCCTCGCCAAGCCCTAACCGGCCCTCACGCCAAGGAGTGGCGCGCTGCGATGGATGCAGAACTAAAAGCGCTGGAGTCTCGAGACACATGGGTCCTAGTCGATCGTGCAGCAGTGAAGGGGAGGAGGGTACTCAGCGGAAAATGGGTTTTTCGCCTCAAGACTAATGCTGACGGCACCATCGAGCGATTCAAGGCACGCTGGGTCGTACGTGGGTACGATCAGCGCCACGGCATCGACTTCGACCAAACATTCGCTCCTGTCAGTCGCCACACCTCCGTCCGGATTCTACTCGCCATTGCCGCCGCTAAGCACCTGCCGCTGCGACAGATCGACGTGAAGAACGCGTTCTTATACGCGTTGGTGGACGCTACCATCTTCGTGGAGCAGCCTCACACCTACGGAGAAGGGGATCCTAGGGTCTGTCAACTGAAGAAGTCCCTCTACAGGATCAAGCAGGCGCCTCGTCTCTGGCAGCAGCATCTGCACAAAATCCTCCTCGAGATCGGTTTCAAGCAGCTTCCACACGACCCGGAGATGTATCGCCTTCACTTTTGCGGCGATTACATCCTCCTGACAGTCTATGTCCACGACCTGTTGTACACGGGCACCTGCAACAAACTCCTTAACCAGTTCGAGGAAAACTTGGCGCAGCGCGTTGACATCACCATCAATCACAACGTGAAACAGTTTTTGGGGCTGAACATCACCTACGCGCCAGAAGCAATCCACCTGTCAGCCTCCAAGTACGCAGAACAGCTGGGAGAACGTTTCAACATCTCTCCTGCACCACTCTCAACTTCCTACCGCAACCCCAGCACCAACTACAAACCAGACAACAAACCACTATCACCCGCAGGACTCCAACTGTACCAGCAGCAACTGGGTTGCCTACTGTTCGCCTCTGTCACCTGCCGACCCGACCTTTCGTACATCGCTAGCCAACTGGCGCAGTATTCTCGCAAGCCAGTAGCTGAGAACCAGCTGGATCTGGAGCGCGCCCTGCAGTACTTCATCTCCACACCTGACATTGGGCTCTCCTACTCCACGCTGACGACGACCTCCTTCAATCTCAACGGCTACGTGGACGCAGACCATGCAGCTGACCCTGCAAATCGACGGTCCCGAACCGGCTTCGTTTTTCGCCTGGAACCCACTGGGCCAATCTCCTGGAACTCACAGAAGCAGGAACTGGTTGCCCTGTCATCGGCTGAAGCAGAATACATCGCCGCGACAGCAGCAGTTCGCGAAGGGCTGTACCTACAGGAGCTGCTACAGGAGGCGAAAATTCCAACCTCGCCCACCTTTCGCCTTCACTGCGACAACCAGAGTGCCATCAGGATCGCAAACAAGCCAGGTTTCGTGAACCGCACGAAGCACATCGCACTCCGATACTTTTTCGTCAAGGACGAAATTGACCAAGGAAAAGTTGACCTCGCCTACTGCCCGACTACTGAGATGGCAGCAGACTTCCTCACCAAGCGTCTGCCACGTCAGCAGTACAAGCACTGCTCTGACCTCACCGGAGTGGTCAAGTGAGTCAGTTCCTCCTGCGCCCAGTAATGAAGGGGAGTGTTACGATATGAAGTTTTATGAGAAGGCTTTCCTGTATGCTGCAGGAGCCGACTCTACCGAGTACGAAGTCGAGGAGTCAGAAGAGTCGAAGCGACGCAGCAACCGCCTGACCAAGACCGATGCAGGCAGAAACATTTGAAGTGAAAAGAGCGGGAACAGGTTCAAAATGGGTTCCCGCGCCGCACGGTTTGAATTTGCTGTAAAAAGGGAATGTACCCCTTAGAGTACATGGCTAGTCTAGGTCTTTTCGTATTCCCCTGTATTCTTATATAAACTCGATGTGTGCATGCCAGGCCCTACGATATCATGAATTTTTCCCTGAAATTCCTGATTTTCAGGGATTTTATTGTACCTACACTGATTTTTCAGTGTTGAGATTTTTGTGACACTGATTTTTCAGCCTTAATTTCATAGTTAACGCTGATTTTTCAGTCTTTTATCGAAGTGTACACTGAATGCACATTCCGAATCCTTCTTGTAAAACACCCGAGAGATTCAGTCAACCAACATTTTCACATGGCCAACGTACGGTGGTTAGTGGTTTGTTACCGACATGTTAGGGCCCCGGTTCGAATCCCTCGGCTGTCACGTTTCGTTAAGCCGACCTCTTAATACAGAGTTTCATTTGCTCGAATATTCAGGCTTTGTTTTTTAGGGACCCTGAAAATTCAGGCTTTTTTTTTTAGGAACACTGAAAATCAGGCTTTTGTTCACAGGGACCCTGATGCATCAACGTCCCTGAAAATGAATCTGAGGGCCTGGTGCATGCTTTTATCAACTCAGTCATGTACATTCACTCTGACCTGAGATTCAAACTTCCGCTGCAATACTACTCTGCGATCAACCCTGAGCGATCCTTCACAAAATCAGCATAAACTTCACCCCCAACGCTGATTTGGTCACTACTTTGGGCAGGGCACGCTGATCCATCAGCATGCCCTGAAACCAATCTGAGGGCCTGCCCGGGGGGGCAGTATTCTGGGGGGTCTTACGGTATATCCGGGAGAATACGGTACCGGTAGAAAAGGTACTCAGGCGACACTGGCCTTACATGAGAAACTGCCTAGAATCCTAACCAGAGCCCTGACCTAGCCCCCAGCATATTTCTCCCTCTCTGCCTCACCTCCCACTCCCTTTCCACTCACACCTACCCTCTCTTCCCTTAAATCACCTCATTCTCCTCACCGCCCAATCCTCAGTACCCCAACCCGCCTCCCACCATCCCCCATCACCGCTGCACGATCACGGAGTTGACCAGCCCGGCGGCCGCAATGGTCTGGCTCTCATCCTCCAGCCGCTTGGGCGGGAACCCCATGGTCTGCAGCGAGTAGCGCCGCCCGGCACTGCCGCCCGGGCGGGCGGCGTCGATGAAGGCGCGGATGTGGGCGACGGTGTGCGCGTGGTTGAAGCGCGCCACCAGGCGCGTGCCATCCGCCAGGCGCACCTGGATGGACGTCACCGGCTGTGACTCGTCCACCTGTAGACCTGCACGGCGGGGAGAGGGAGGGAATGGGGGAGGGAGGGAAGGTGGGTATCAAGGTGGGGGTACGAGGGGCGGGTGGGAGGGTGTTGGGGGAGGTGAGGGGACGCATGGCGTGCGGAGGAGGGCAGTCAGCAGAGGGGCGTGGCGGTGGGGGCTTGAGGTGTGCTACTGGCAGGCAAACAGGCGTTCACATGTGGAGGCAGCATGTTCAGAGAACAACGAATGGTGGCACTAGATAGTGACGGAGGGCAAGGGGGGTGGGGGGAGGGGGGAGGGACGAGTGCAGCAAGCAGGGAGACAGGATGAGGAGCAGCAGTGAAGGGCGGAGGGTGAGAGGGGGAGCAGCGGGTGCAGGGCGGCAAGCATGTCACCTCCAGCAGGGGCCTGGGGGTTGGTGGGGCCAGTGGCAGCAGGTGCAGCAGCAGCAGGGGGTTGTGGCGGTGCCTGTGCATCGGAGGCGGCAGCAGCATCCCCCAGCGTGCGGCCCTGGCCTGAGAACGCCACGTACTTGGGCTCTGGTGGGGGCTGGCGGAGTGGGGGAGACACGGAGGGGCAGGGGCAAGGGATGTGGGGATGGAGGAAGGAGGGGACTGCTATCATGCCCGCACATGCTCCCACATGCTTGCACGCCTCCCCCTAACGTTTCGTTCAAAGGGCCAGGTACATTAACGGTTGAAACTGCACGATGAAGCAGCTGCGATGTAGAATGCATGCAATACCTTTCCCACACCTCCCATATTTCTCGGCACCCCCCTCTCCCCCACCCTCTCCCAAACCTCTTCCCCTTCTCGCCCCTGCCACCCGTCCACCCGCTTCCCCCCATCTCCCCCCATTCCCCTCTCCATCAATCTCGTCCCCTGGCCCTCTCCCCTAGCCCCCCCCCACCGTCCACTCGGAGTTGTTGCGCAGCAGGTTGAGCTCCACGTCCTCGTTGGGGTCCGCGCTCTGCAGCTCGCGCGGACACTCACCGCGCTCCAGGATGCTCTGAGGGGGGAGAGAGCATGGCGGGATGTGGGGCATGTGAGGAGGCGGGGTTGGGAAACTGAGTGGCGGTGGTGGAGAGGGGGAGGGGGCGAACAGACGAACAACGGGGTGGAACGAAAATGACAAATGTGCGGGGCGGGGCGGGGAGATTAAGAGTTGCAAAAGCGGACGAAAATGACAAATGTGCGTGCCGGGCCGGCCACAAGGCAAGGACCTCCGCTGTGTTGCAGGTTGCTCACACGTACAGAGCAAAGAGTTCGAGAGAGAGATTGGGAGGTGCGAAAGCAGGGAGGCAGCGAGGAGTGGACGAGCAGTAGAGGCAGTGGCAGCATACATGGGGAAGAGGGGGTTAAGGATGGGAGGGAGGAGGGAACATGCGAGTGGACAGTGGGTACAGCAGCGGAGCAGGGCAGGAGGCGGGAGAGGGGGAGGGTGGGGATGGGTGGGCATTGCGAGGAGGCAGGGCGCGAGGGCGAGGGGTGGGTTGAGTGGGGTGGCGGAGCAGCAGGGCAGGCGGAGGGCGGAGAGGCAGTGCACTAATGGGTACAGGTTGGGCAGGACAGAAGGGCGTGGCAGGGCGGAGTGGCATGGCAGCGCCATGGAGGCGGAGGGATGGGGGAGCGCACACCTTGAGGAAGGCGGCGTTGGCGGGGTCCTGCAGCTGGCGCAGAGGCCCCTCGTCCACCGTGAACCCGTTCAGGTAAAACGTCACCGTGTGCCGCACCACCCGCCGGCCCCCCTCCCCCGCCACCCCCCCCTGCCCCTGCCCTGACGCAGCTTCCGCGCCAGCGCCTCCCCCTGCCCCTTCCCCGCCTGGACCCCCCAGCGTCCTCCCCACTCCGCTGAACGCGCCCGCGCCTCTCCGCGCGCCCCCGCCTCCGCCTGCGCCCGCGCCCGCGTCGAGGTCCGCGGAGGTGCCCTGGCGCGCGCCCTGCTGCTGCGCGCGCGCGAAGATATCGTCCACGTCCAGCGCGCCCCCGCCCGCCCCCCCCCGCGCCGCCATTCCGCCCGGCCCCCTGCGCTTGTTGGGGTCCTGCACCGCTATTCCGCTGATGGGGGGGGAAGGGAGGTGTCAAGGGGGATGGTGGAGGGAAGGAATTGAGAAGGACTTTAAGGGCAGCAGCAAATGAGGAAGACTGAATGAGGATTGCACAAAGTTTAGAGGGGAAGGGGCGATTTATGAAAAGCGATGCGAGAGGGGTGGGGTGGGGTGGGGAGGGCGGGAGCAAGGGAGGGCGGGAGGGCGGGGGGGCGGGAGGGCGGGAGGGAGGGAGGGAGGGAGGGAGGGAGGGAGGGAGGGAGGGAGGGAGGGAGGGAGGGAGGGAGGGAGGGAGGGAGGAAGAGAGGGAGGGAGGGAGGGAGGGAGGGAGGGAGGGGTAGGAGGGAGGGAGGGAGGGAGGGAGGGAGGGAGGGAGGGAGGGAGGGAGGGAGGGAGGGAGGGGCGAGGGGGTTCGCATGCACAACAAACGCGAAGCCGAAAACACAAGGCCCACAAGGGCAACGGCAGGCGAGGCGTGCGCACCTCTTCTCCCCCCCCGCGTAATACTCCTCTCTGTCGTCGTCATCCTCATCCTCGTAATCCTCGTCGTCCTCCTCCTCATCCTCGTCCCTCCGCCTCCCGATATCCCCCAGCGTCCGGATCCGCCCGCCTCCCCCTCCCCCTCCCCCTCCCCCTCCGCGCCCCGTTCTCTTACTCCCCTTCCCCTTCCCCACTCCCCCCACAAATCTACCAATTCCGCCAGTTCCCCCCCCCGCCCCTGACGGTCCCCCGATGGGCGCAGTCACCCGCGGCTGCCGCTGCTGCACCTCCTCGCCGCCCTCCTCCGCGCCTCCCGTGGAGAACATCGCCTGTGACGTCATCGCGGGATTCGTGGGGCCACCTACTGCCGCCCCGCCCGCACGCGCCGCGGCCGCCGCCGCCGCAGCAGCACGCGGATCGCGCGGCGGCGCGGCAGCGACGGCCGCGGCGACGCCTCGGCTGCCGGTGTCGTCGCCGTCGTCCCCGGAGGCACCGCCGGCGGCGGCGGCGGCAGCGGCGGCGTCCCCGCCGTGGTCGTAGAAGGCGGAGATGGCGGCGTCGAGCGCGCCGGCGCTGCTGTCGAGGAAGAAGCGCGCCTGGTCGGGCGCCGCGCCCGTGATGGCGCAGAAACTGGAGACGAGATCGTCGTCTGGCGCCGCGGACGACGACATGGCTGCGCTGGTGTGGGGAGAGCTGGCACAGGGCGACGAACCACGGGGGAGCGCGGAGAGACGGGCGGGAGGAGAGAGACGGGGGGGGTGGGAGAGAGACTGGGGGGGAGAAAAGAGACGGGGGTGGGAGGAGAGAGACGGAGGGGGGGAGAGACACGGGGGGTGAGCGGAGTGAGGGTGGGCGGGGAGAGCAATGACGGGATGGCAGTGACCTGATGGGCGGGACAGTGGCGTCAGGCACGGGACGGGCGACAGGACGGCGCGAGGGGGGCTCGGATGCGCGAAAGGTGCGCGGAAGAGGGAGGCAGGGAATTGAAGGTGTTGGTGGATGAGGCTCAAGGGCTGTTTGTAGATCGGAACGAACAGAGGCGAGATTCGAGACGCAGCGTGCGCGACGACGCGAGGAGCAGGTGTGGCATCAAAAGTGGGGGATCGGAGACCGACGATTCACACGGTTCGGGGCTGCAGCAAAATCAGATCTCAACGAATCTCATCAGTCGCGACATCCTACGGTCATCGCTCCAGATTGGCCGAGCATAATCCGCACAGGCGAATCCCGTCGCCGCCAGGGGAGCGAACACCCCCCCACCGCAGTCGTCGACGGGCTTAAGCGCGGCGACTTCAGAGTCGACTCGAAAGTCACCTCAGTCGGTGCACGGGCTTAAGGGCCGCCACTGGACGGGCAGATTGACGACAAGCACGCACAGCGCGCACGGCACTTAAGTTCAAATCATCGAGGGATGAAGTGAGATTGGGGAGACGAACGAGTCGGCAGGGCGAGCGAGCTCCACGCGTGGAAGGCGCAGGCACGGCGAGGCTACGACGTACCCGAGGGGCGATCGACTCTCGGGTCTACTGAATCCTTCTGAGTCGACTCACAAGTCGCGACGTACCAGTGAGGGGCGGCCGACTGGTGCCTAGTGAATCCGCTGCCGAATCTAGCGCACCCACGCACACGAGGCTTCTTTCGCTGACACCACGGTGAAGAGTGCAAGATGTGGCAGCTCGAGCGGCGTGGAGGCAAGGAATTCGAAGCTTAATCGGCAGTAGCAAGCGATAGACTGCGAGCGGAATCGGGCAGTAACCTCCAGTCAGATCCTGCCATGCTATGCCGTGCAAGTGTTGCTTGCCTTGGCTCTCACTCAAGCAACCTCCATGTGCTGCATTGCTTCCATCGGCCGACACAAACACAGAGGGGATGACGCGCTATAGCGCTTCGTGAACGATCAACACTCGGGAGTGTGATTATTCTAAATTAATCTAAGATGTAAGAAGAACGAACACAGATTTTCCAAATACAGGAGGCAAGCATCTCATCTCATATGGGCTTCAAAAGCTGCACACACATTCAAACTAACAAGTGCAGCCCACGCATCGTCTGATACCGTACTCCAAACACAAGCATATTGAAGAAGCCTATATCAGCGGCATGCGACGGCATGCACCATGCACCGTGCAAGCGGCGTATCACATTCACATGGTGCTCAAGTCCATGTGCGGCATGCCATAGAAGTGCCGCAGCTGTGCAATGCCCCCCGCGGGCGCCATGGCGTGGTCGATGAGTGTGAGGCGCCGCAGGTCCTCCTCTATGCGCGCGCGCTGCTTCTCCCCCACCTGCTGCTTCTCCCCCGCCACGTGCTGCTCCCGTGCCCATGCACGGGGTGGGGGGGAGAGGGAGGAGGGGTGGGGTGGTGCGGGAGGGAGGGGGAAGGGTGTTGCGGTGAGGAAAGGATGGGGAAATGTGGATGGGTGAGAGGCAGGCAGGGGGGAGCATGTGTCATACAAGCGGCAGTGTGTGGCATGGAAAGGAATGTCTCAGCGGAAACGGGTCGTCAAGCCTGACGACCCTCTGACGACTTGACGACATGCTGCCCCGGGCAGAAAAAAACTAAAACCCTATCGGATGGCATGCCATCCTAGGGAGGCATCAACCCTAAATCCATGCCTCCCTGTGTTTAGGGTTGATGCCTCCCTGACCGGATGCATGCCCTTCTGGGGTTTATTTTTTTTGCCCGCGGGCAGCGAGCTCCCCTGGGCAGACTCGCTTGTCCGCTGAGATATATTCGGCGGAAGCAGGCAGTGCGAGTGGGCACGGTGCGCATGACACGCGGCAAGGCTGCCACAGGGCAGTGCACACATGCTCAGCACATGAGCCCAGCACCACCACCACCACAGCAGTAGCCGCTTCACCTGCTTGCCCACCCACTCAGCATGCGTCATAGTCCCTGCGCCCCCCTGCCCTGCCCGCGCCTCACCTCTGTGAGCATCTTCATCTCCTCTGCCTGCCTGCCCGCCACCTCCTTCCACCTTCGCGCCCTCTGCCACTCCACCGTCCCCACTCCACGCTCCCCCCCCCCTCCCCCTGCTTTCTTCCCTCCGACCCCCGCTCCGCCACCCCCCCGCTGCCTCTCCTCCATCACAGTCAGCCGCCACCGCCACCTCCCCTGCCCCGCGCCACCCCCCTCCCCGCTACCCCCGCCCGCTCCCCCTCCCGCCGCGCCCTCCCCCGCAGCGTCCGTGACGCGGAACCCCGGGAGGGCGGACGCGGCGGAAAGGGGGGAGTTCTGCGCGCCGGCGGCGGAAGTAACGGCGGGCGCGGATTGCGGGAGCGCGGCGGCGTGCAGCGCGGAGGGGAAGACGAACGCGCCGTCGAACATGTCGGCGCGCGCCTTGAACGCGCGCACGGGGCGGGGCCCCGAGCCGACGATCAGGATCGACTCGCTTATGTCCGCGAGCATCTGGCGGGGACAGGGGCGGGACGGGGTTGCGTCGCGCGGAGACGGAATAAGGGCGGCGACGTCCTATCGCACGATTCGGCACTAGCAGTGAGGTGGAGTCGATGGGAGAAACGGGGAGTGGACGCCGGGCAGAGACTTAGGAGGCAACGGGCGGGGGTGTGAGGGGGAGAGGGGAGAGTGCGGGGAAGGGGAGAAGGAAGAGCGGGAGGCGCTGTTGCGCGCGCACCTTGAGCGCGAGGTGGCGCGAGTGCAGCTCCACGATGGCGCAGCCGGACGAGCGGCGCGGGTCGAGCAGGTTGGGCACCAGCTGCACGCTGCGCACCGTGCCGAACTGCCCCAGCGCGCTCTGCAGCGCGGCGGGCGTCACGGCGCCGCACAGCTCGTCCACCAGGATGCTGCGCGCCACGCGCTCCTCGAACGTCGCCTCGCGCTCCCCTTCCGCGCCCCCCGCGCGCTGCTGCTCCCCCCGATGCGGAATCTCGCGCCCCCAGCCGTCCCTCTCGCCGCCCCACGCCACGCCCGGTTCCGCCATTCCCGGCGCGCCTGCGGCGCGATCCCTGGCGAAAGGGGGCCCGGCGGCGGAGGACGATGGGGGGCGGGTGGTGGCGGGGAGCGGGTAGGACGACGGCATGGCGGAGCGGGGCGAGCGGAGAAGAGCCGCGCGCGGAGGGCGGGGATGGGGACGGGGCGTGGTACCCGATTCGTACGGGGGAAAGTACCACGGGACGAGCGTGGTTGACGGAGCGAGGACGACGATTGGAATCAGTGTGTTGCGCGCGGTGTCTGTCGGTATGTGGAGTTGTTTGAATGAGGCCCTTGGATTGGCTTCGCGAAGTGCTTCTGAGCTTCTGACAAACACCCAAGCCAGTTGCTTGGGTCCGTTACAAGCGCACTTTCTACAGCACATAATTCCGCATTTCCAGTTCATGAACTGAGCTGCTGGTTCTCTCGCCGGGCTAAGAGGATGATGAGACTTGAACAAGTGTTACGAGTGCAATTGAGTGAGCGAGCGAGAATTGCGCTATCGAAGCAAACAATAGAATGAGCGAAGGCATGCATGAATTGTTAAATAGCGACAGAACTGCTAATGGTACCGCGCTCGCGAAAGGGTGCCCTTATGGCCTGGTGCCGAGGTTGGGCGCAGGTTACCAGCCGAACCGGGTGGTTTGGACGCGACGTCGTGATGGCGGGAAAAGCGCCGAGGCGAGTGCTGCGGGGTGGGCTGCAGTTAGGTGTACAGTGGCTGGAATAGTCGTGTACGCTGTATGCAGTGTGACACGAAGTAAGGGAAAGTTGTTTACATGATGAACTATGATAAACACGGCAACATAACCAAGGTTGAGGCCATCAACACATCTAACTGCGTTGCTCGCGCTCGTTTCAGTCCCAGTCGTGATACCTGCACGCACCACACCACATATGACAAGCTGATGAGCCGTGTGCCTTGCGCGAGAGCCTTGACATGGCATGGCATGGCATTCAATGAGGTGCATAGCAGAGGGATAGAGATGGTGGCACGAGAGGGACAAGTAGAGCGCAGTGCAGAGGCGCATGAGTGGTGGCCCACCTGCTTGAGGAAGGAGTCCGCTAGCGACTTGCACGCACAGAGGGAGAGCACCTGCATGCACCGCACAGCATGGCACGGGATTGGATTGCATTGTATGGCATGGCATGGCATGGCGTGGCATGGCATGGCATGGCATGACATGGCATGGCGTGGCATGGCATGGCATGACATGGTATGGCGTGGCATGGCATGGCATGGCATGACATGGTATGGCGTGGCATGGCATGGCATAGCATAGCATAGCATGGGATGGCATGGCATGACATGGCATGCACCAGAATCCAGCGAAACTGAACAGCAGCATGGGAGATGAGGCGAGTCCTGAGTAGACAAGGGCGGGCAGCAATGGCAGGGGTTGCGTGGGCGTGCGAGCATTCAACCCGGTGCGATCCAGGTGCAAGCAAGAGGGTGCAGCCCACCTTGTGCACGTGCGACATGGACACGCTCTCGCTCTCGCCCCCCTGCTCCACGTGCCTGCTGTCCCCCGGCCACACGCCCAGCAGGTGCCGGCACTGCACCGCCGCATACACGTGCACCCACGCATGGTCCTTATACAGCTGCAAGGCCTGGGACTGGGTTTGCATGGGAGGGGGTGGTACGGTGGAGTTCAGAGAGAGGCGAGGCGAAGGCTGACATGTGACGGACGATGGGTGCAGGGACCGGGAAAGCAGGAGTGCAACGGTGGCGGTCCTGTGGGGGAGTGGCAGTGGGGTTGCGGAGCAAGGTGCAGGCATGGGTGACGATGACGCAAGAGCGAGGATGTGCGTGACGGTCGTGTGGATGCACACTAGGTTAAACAAGCAAGGGATGTGCATGATGGCAGGACGGTGGCCAGGCATGGAGACAACGCGAGTCACAAGCACTGCGAGTGCTGCAAGGCTGGGATGGTTGGTGGTGCAAGGCTGCACTGGTGCGTGCAGTGCAGCGAGGGTGTGGTGGGCAGTCAGGTCACCTGGAGGTGGTGCTTGAGCGCGGCAGGCAGCGCCAGCACGTGCAGCAGGCACAAGGGCACGCAGGGGTCGAGGGGCGTGGCAGGGCTTGCAGGCGCACTGCCAGGTGCACTGGCAGCAGGCGTGGCAGTGAGCAGTGCGGGCAGGCTGTGCAGATCATGGAACCACGGGTGGCCTGGCGCATGCATTGAGGGGGCGGGGGGTGGAGGGGCCAGGGGAGGGGTGAGGGGGTGGCGTGATGAGGGTTGGTGGGCGCATAGAGAGGGGACACAGGAAACGGAGTGCTAGCTGTGCACACAGAATGACCCTATCCGCGATCATCTCAGCATCCCCTGCACCATTTGCCCATCCGCAAAGCACCCCCCCAAGCACAGACAGTGCATCCCCCAACGCACAGAGCATCCCCCAACGCACAGAGCATCCCCCAACGCACAGAGCATGATGGCGGCGGTGGGGCGACGGGCAGAGTCCTTGGCCATCAGGCTCTGCACCGCGTGCCGCCCCTCGCCCGACACACACGCCTCCCTCCCCACGCCCGCGGCCTCCCCCGCGACCCCCCACGCGCTCTCTGTGAACCCGGCTTGCTGCGTGGCGACAGCGTGCATGGTGGTGCGCAGGCAGCGCGGCACAGGCGAGAAGGGCAGGCGGCCGCACAGCAGCAGGTACGCCAGCGAGGCGAGGGAGAAGAGGTCGGTGGGCGTGCCGTACTTGGCGCGCAGCACGTCCGGGGAGAGGTAGTCCTGCGATCCCAGCAGCTCCCATAGCGGCTCGTGCAGCTGCGGCAGCGCCACGCACACAGGGGGGAGTGCAGACAGGGAGGTTTCGCGGGGGGGGGCGGACGGGGGGGTGGCCGCGGGGGCGAGGGGGGTGGCGGGCAGGCTCGAGTTTGGTTGGGGCTGCTGCTGCTGCTCTTGCTCTTGCTGTTCCACGTGCAGGGCCCTGCTCGCGGCGGCTCTTGTGGCACCGTGCGCGTGCGCGGCAGGAGTAGGGCATGCAGCAGCGGGGGTGGGCACAGGGCAGGCGGAGAGGGGCAGGGGTGGCAGCAGTGCCGCCAGGCCAAAGTCTATGAGCTTCACGTGGGGGAGGTCATGGGCACTGCTGCTGCTGCTGCTGCTGCTCTTGGCGAGAAGAACGTTCTGTGCGATGGGAGCATGGGGAGGGGAGAGCAGCGAGGGAATCAGGTGAGCAGCGTGGGACGGGTCCATGCGGCAATGACGTGCTGCGCTTGCACCCGCACATCCCCTATCCCACTGCACTGCTGCACCAAAAAGCACCTCCTCTTACTGCCCTCCCCCATCTCCTCCCCCCCTTCATCATCCATTCCCTCCCCTTCCCGACCCTTCACTCTCTCTCCCCCCCACCTCGGCCTTAGCGCTGCGGTGCGCACGGCAGGGCCAGCCATGCGGCACAAACCCACGCATCCCCTCTTCCCCGTCCCCTCTCCTCCGCCTTCCCCTCCCCCCACCCCCCTCTCCCCCCCACCAACACCTCGGGCTTGACGTCGCGTTGCGCCAATCGAGCAACAATTTATGCTGCATGCACGTGCACCCGCGCATCCCCTCGTACGCTCTCCTCCCCCCTTCCCCCACCCCACCGCACCTCGGGTTTAATGTCGCGGTGCACCACCAGGTGTGCGTGGCAGTGCGCCAGCGCGTGCAGCAGCTGCCACACCACATGCCGCGCTGCCGCCTCGCCCGCATGCCCCACCCTGCGCTCGCGCGCGCGCACACAAGCGGGAGAGGGGCGGGTGGGACGGATGGGGGGGTTGGATGGGGGAGGGCAGACGAGAGGGGCGGAATGCATGGCAGCACGGATCGGGGTGAGGTGAGGAAGTGAAGCAGTTGCGATGGAAGCCTTGGATCGCACAATGCCCTGCACCACTGCATGAATGCGCGGGGCGCGGCGGAGTGGCCGCAAGGCGCGACTGGGTGGAAGCAGAGTACGGAGGTTCCAGAGCACAGCATTGCCGCTCGCTCGCTCACTCACTCACTCACTCACTCGCTCACTCACCCGGACGCCATCATGAGGTCCATGAGCTCGCCGCCCTCGCACTCCCTGCCACACACCGCACCACGCACGACGAACGCGGCATCACGGTCACAGGGCGTTACACGGGAGAGCCGCGCCAGCGGGCTAAAGCAGCAACGGGGCTGTGCCTCGCTAAAAGAGGCTGCTGGCTGCGAGTCGCGAGTGCTTCGAAAGAGGCTTGGGGGCGGGGCGCGAGCGGGGAGAGGAACGCGGTGAGCGGAAAGGAAGGGCACGCGGGGAGCGGGAGGGAGCGCGCGCGCGGCGCGGCGGCACTGACTGCAGCACGAGGTAGACGTTGCGGTCGTCCTCGTACGCGCCCACGAGCGCCGCCACGTGCTCGTGCGCCGGCAGCATGCGCTGAATCGCCACCTCGCGTCGCACCGCCTCGCGCGACTCGTCTGTCGAGAGCTGCGCGCATGGGACGCGGGGGGTGGAGGTGGGGAGGGAGCGGCGGAAAGGGTGGGGAGGAGGGCGAGGCACGAGGCGGCATCCCAATATCTGGAGTGCCGAAATAAAATGTCTGAAAAATATTTTGTAATTGCAATTGAACACTTCTCAGATGGGACACGCAAACTGGGGACACGTCGAGTGCGGTGGGCGCGCGGGGGGGGCGGAGGGGGTGACGTGCATCTTGCGCGCGCTTTCGACGCAGTGCTGGGACGCTCATTCACGCAGCACTTCTAGTAGTAGCAGTCTGTTACTCCCTTTCTGCCCCCTTCCCTCCCCCCCAGCTTCTTTTCTTTCTACCCCCCTTTACCAAACGTCTCCCCCGCGCTCCCACCCCACGCAGCGCCGCGCACCTCCGCCTTGCAGATCGTCTTCACCACCACCGGCGGCCCCCGCTCCCCTGCCTTCCCCCGCCGCCCTTTCCACGCGCCCTTGCGCGCCGTCGCTCGGCGCACCTCCCCCGTGCGCCCGCGCCCGACCAGGTCGCCGATGTCGTAGTCCGCGCTGATGCCCCGCCGGTACCCCAACCACCACACCTTTCCGTCGCCGCCGCCGCCGCTCCCGGCACCACTTGGTGCGTTATCGCCCACCCCGCCATTCACCTCGGCGCGCGGATGGCCGACAGCGCTGCTGCTCCAGCTGCGCCCGAGGCCCCATCCTCCGCCCGACGGCCCTTCGTGCTTCCACCAGCGGGACTCGCTACTACTCACGCGGGGACTGGCGGCGCTGTGCGCGTGGGGCAGCGGCGGTGCGGCGACGGGCGTGGTCACCACGCGTGAGGGGGATGAGTGCGCATGGCGCAACGAGGGAGCGGGCGCAGCCGTGTCGGCGGCGTGCGCCGGTGAATTCTCCGAGAGGCGGCGCTCGTCGTCCGAACGAGCCTCGTCCTCGCTGCTCGCGCCGCTCCGTCCCCTCCCTTCCGCGGCCGCCCCCGCCGGCCGCCTCGCATTGCCCCCCCTGACTTCTCTGGCGGTGCGCGCGCCCCGCGGAGGGCTCCACTCCGCGCAGCTGGCGCTGGCGGCGCTTGCCGTCGATCGCCCTGATGTGTTGCCCTCCCCCGCGACCTGGCACGTCATGCCGCCCGTCGCCTCGACCCTTATGGCCAGCGGCATTGGCGGCACAAGCAGAGCGGGGCTGGCAAGTGACGTGGCAGCGTGTGGTTCGTCGGCTTCGAGGGATGGAGAACCGAGTCGCGAATTAAACAGGAGGGGCACGGAGGGCCGGGTTGGGGATGCGTGGAGTGAGGCTAATTGTGAGTTCGCCGCTGCCGCCTTTGCACTACGATCATCCGCTCCCCCTGTTACCTCCCGTCGCCCCTCTAGCGTGGTGGCTTCGGCGCCGCGGCAACAGCTGTTACTACACGGGAGGGTCGTAGAGGTAGTGCTAGGATGCTGGCGGGACGGCGAGGGCCTTTGGCATGGGGAAGGGGCGGCGGCGGCGGGCGAGGGGAGCCAATGGTGGCTCAACCACCGCCGCACGTGCGGCACCGCTGTGGCCGAGTCGCTTTTAGGAACCATGGCTACGCTGCTGCTACGCGCTCACACGCTCCGCTGGCATCGGTCGGATTCTGACGCAACGCAATGCGCGGGATGGTTACTCCGCGACCCAATGCCGTTCAGGCTCGTCTAGTGCCAGATAGGAAGCTCCCAGGCTTGATCTGCTCTCGCAAAGACAACGACTCCCAGCCAAGCTCGCTTTGGCCTGAGAGGGGGGGAGTTGGAATGAGGCTCCCCGAAGGAAGCAGCAGCCGCTGAGGTCATGGGCCAGAATGCTGAATCGCGTGTCAACAGCATTGCTGCGATGGCGACAAAAGGTCACCGCCATGCTTTCCCTTCCGAGGCGCAGACTACGATAAACACTCTGGCCTGGATTGAAAGTCGGCAGTGGGGTGGTGGTGGAGGAGACGCATTTCACCAGCAGCATATGTTGTTGCCCTTGGCCTTTGAGCTGAGTGAAGGGGCGGAGCCGAGGGCAGCGCAGCCATTGCAGCACAGCTGCAAAGAGGACTAATACGCAGATGGATGGATTAGTTTCCAGTATTAATAAAGTCCACGTCTGGTCAGCGACTTTTAAGGACCCTGACATTCCACGCAATATAAAGATAGATTACGTAACCAGTTGCCTTTTTTAAATCCTATTTTACATTCGACAGGGCATACTTATGTGATGCACAAATTCTTGTAGAGAAAGAATGTTATTGTACAAAGCATTCTTTATATAGATATGCATAAGGATGTAAGCTTACTATGCACTATTCAAACCAGCTAATCTAAGAAAATATTCTTACAATGATACTATTGATAATCTGGTTGGCCCTAGCATAAGTATCTGGTGATTTTAAAATGTCCTTTTGCAGTCTCGATTGTTATTTTACATGAAATGCTTCTTTTGTTGCATGCTGACCAGCGCAAACAGTTCCAGCCATACCCAAATCAATAACTCTAAGCTTTTGAAAAAACCGCTGAGATGTCATTTGTTTCTCTTCCGGAAGAAATAAAGGCGCTGATATTTGAAGGTACATGTTCAACGACATGCGCATTTGCCCCTATGAAATGGCTAGCGTCGGGGTAGCAGCACTGTCCGCGGCAGAGCAAGAGGAGCCAAGATGCATGTATCAAATCTGCCTCGTGCAGATAGCAAGGGTCGCCGCTGCGGCGGCCCCTCCAGGTTCCACAAGGCGAGGCAAGCGATACCCTTAGTGGCTGATAAGCTACAAATACAATCAGTAACATGCTGTATGTCTCTGTATATTTTGCCTATTCTTCACACAATGCACATTATTGCATGCAAGGTGAATAAAAAAAAATCCCAGATATTTTGGCCTTTTATCGTAATGATGGCTCAGATTCAACTGTGATATTATTTTTGAATGGCAGATATGTAACAACATTTCTCTCTCCACATATGGCCTATCTACTCTATTATTTAAATCCTTCTAAATTTATGTGGTTTTGGGGAGTATATTGTTGGAAACAATCGATCTTAAGCGCCTCTGTCGTGTCGAAACACTAAAGCACAAACGAAGCGAAGCATATCGAAGCACCGGCGAGTCAACCCTCGGAGGTTGAAAGTAACTGTTGGAGGTTACGCGAAAGTCAAAGGTCAGCGACCTTTGACATGACAGAGTACAGCGCGACAGCAAGGACACACAACTGACTCACTACAGAGCAGTTGCCCGAGTCGTCACTGTATCGAACCGCAACAGCAACAGTAAAACAGTTGTACCTCTTCATATTCCTTGTACTCTTATATATAATCTTGTATCTCTCTGTTTTAATCAATCTACTTTGCCCTCACATACTAGCGCAAGGTGGTTCAACTACTTCATTAAAGGCTTCCGCTATTACATCAGTCCTACCCAGAGTTCACCCCTGCAAAGATCCTAAGGGCTATTTTCTCAGCCCAACATGGTATGAGAGCAGTCAGGGAGAATTCAACTTCTATTAAGATACCGACAACATCAACAGGCATGGCTACACAAAAGGAAAGGAGCTCCTCCAACGGCTCCCAGGGCACTACTCCTACTCCACCTCCTGCCTCTGGCCTACAGACAGAGGAGGGTACGGCAATAAGACCCAGGGCAACTTCTACCGAAACTCCTACAAATCAACCTGCAGACTTCGACCAGAGCATGATGGAGAAATTCTTCTCCTTTATGTCCTTCTACGAGCAACACCAGCAATCGGCATCTGTGCAGTCACACAATAGCAACAACAACGGAGCAACTCCCATGAGTCTCGACGGCTCATCATACGCAGACGGGAAATCAACAGCAGCAGCCTACCTTTGCTCCGTACGAGCGCGGGTCCATCAGCTTTATGCCACACCCGCAGCCTCCACCTGGACAAGAAAAGTCACTGGACGCATTACAAGTTCAGTCGCAGTTCGCGCACGTTCTGAAGATGCAGACGTCAAGACCTTTCGATGGAAATGATTTCTTCACTAGGTCGTTTGAATTCGAGTTAATGATGGAAGGCGCGCAGATACTTGGCTTCTTCGACGGGTCCCTGCCATACCCAACGAACGGCACACAGTATGAGAAGCAGCAGTACACCTATCAGTCGATGATGGCGTACACGATTCTACTGAGGAACATCACCCCAACCCAACAGCAGAATATACGATCTTACCAGGGTTACGGCAACTCCGCTGAGCTCGCATACAACCGCTTGAAGAGCCTGTATCAAGCAACAGAGAGCGTAAATCAAAGTCGGTTAATGGCGCAACTGACAACGGTCGAAATGAAACCATGCGAGAAAGGAATGGCGTATATCAGCCGATGCCGCGAGTTGCGCGACAAGCTTCTTCGATGCGGAGGGTCGATTTCTGAAGACGCCTTCGTGACAGTTATCATTGGCGGCCTCGGTCCTCAATGGCGCGCCACAAAGACCATCCTCCGAGCCCACGGAAGAATCTCCGAAGCAGCGCTCTGCGCCGAAATCCGTGGCGAGCAACAAGACATGGACCTGCAAGAAGAACGACACAAGAAGAAGACATCAGCACCGGAATTTGCATTCCACACTCAGCGACGCTACAACAACAAACAACAACAACCGAAGCCCGTACCTCCGTTCTGCCACATCTGCAAGACGTCAGGGCACCCGCGCACGCACTGCCCGAATCGAAAACAGTCAACGCCTTCACAGCGGCAGCTTCGACCTTCAAGCAATCAAGTCGCCTCAACACAAGCAAATCCTACGACCCAGATTAAAGCCTCAACGACTTCAACAGGAAAACCTGCACAAGGAGCAAGGAACATCGTCAGTTGCATGGCAAGACTGAGCGACTCTTGCATCACGGGATCACCACCGTACTACTCACCGGAAGAACAACTCGACGACACCACACCTCACCACGATTCACTCCAGCCGAATCCGACATACGCGGCCATCGCCCAAAGCGAGCCATCCGGAAAGGACACGTGGTTCTTGGACAGTTGCTGCGGACAACACATGTGTTCTTCAGGACGCTTCGTGTGTCAGAACATATATATAGCTTATGCTGTTGTGTAGGCTATAGTGGGGTATCCCATAGGGGGTACAACCCAATTAGGGTTTCCTATATGTACTCACTTCATTCATAGTTCATTCATCCTCGTTCTCATTCTCACATGGAATCAGAGCAGGTCCCCTCCTAGGGACTGTTCCTTGGGCCCACCGAAACGCGCCTCGAGTCGCGCCTGCCCCTCTTTTTTTTAGCGGCCCGTCGAGTCGCACCTAGCGGCCCGTAGCGCCGCCCTTACGGTCGCGTCGAGCCGCCATAGCGGCTGCGGCGCGCCGCCCCTTTTCCCGGCCCGTCGCCGCCCTTACCCGCGGCTTTACGCCGCCCTCACCGGCGGCTTCGCGCCGCCCCTTACCGGCGGCTTCGCGCCGCCCCTTACCTGCGGCCCCGCCGCCTCTCTCGTTGCGGCCCCGCCGCCCGTCTTCGCGGCCCCGCCGCCATCTCTCGCTGCGGCCCCGCCGCCACTCACTGCGGCCCCGCCGCCCGTCTTCGCGGCCCCGCCGCCTCGCTACGTCAGCGGCCCAGCCGAGCCGCCCAACAGCAGCGCAGCCGAGCCGCCCAGCAGCAGAGCAGCCGAGCCGCCCCGCCGCCGAGCCGCGCTGCAGCCGAGCCGCCCGGCCGCCGAGCCGCCCTGCAGCCGAGCCGCCCTGCTGCCGAGCCGCCCTGCCGCCGAGCAGCCCGGGAGCCGAGCCGCCGAGCCGCCCTGCCGCCGAGCCGCCCTGCCGCCGAGCCGCCCTGCCGCCGAGCCGCCCGGGAGCCGAGCCGCCCAGCAGCCGAGCCGCCGAGCCGCCCAGTCGCCGGGCCGCCCTACTGCCGAGCCGCCCGACCTGCCCTGCCTGGTGAGCACAGCACCACTGTTACTGCGTGCCCTTCCCCTACTGCTTGCACTACTACACTATCGTCGTCATGGCTACCCCTAGTGTCCTCGCTTTTGACGCTGAGGGTCGAGCCATTGACTTTGAGGTCTGGGTCGACGACCTGCAGCTGTTCTTACAGTGCGATAGGGCGGACGGTCTTTCCCTCTTTGACCTCACCTCTGGCGCCTCTCCTGCCCCTGCTGCTGATGCTGACCCCACTGTTCGCTCTCAGTGGGCCACCCGCGATGCTGCTGCACGTCTTGCTGTGCGTCGCCACCTGCCTACCACTGAGCGCGCGCACTTTAGTCAGTACAAGAATGCTCAGACCTTGTACGACGCTGTAGTTGCGCGCTACTCTTCCCCTGCCACTGCTGCCCTTAGCCGCCTCATGCTACCGTACCTCTTTCCTGACCTTGCTGCCTTTCCCACTGTCGCTGACCTCATTACGCACCTCCGCACTAGTGACACTCGCTACCGCGCCGCCCTTCCTGCTGAGTTCTGCGCCAAGAACCCCCCCCCCATGTACATCACTCTCTATTACATAGTCACACGTCTCCCTGACTCCCTTCACGTAGTCAGGGACCACTTCCTCTCAGTCTGTCCCACCACTCTCACTGTCGACCTCCTCGAGAAGTCCCTCCTGGCGGCGGAGAAGAGCA